GTCCAAACCCTTCAATATAGCAATGGATCCATGTCTGTATGTGCAATAGTGCCTGAGATATTATAGATATGCATATTTAATGAGGTATATGACCTTATATGGTCAACGAATATGTTGGCTCATTTATTTGACCATTATCTTCAATATAGCATTAGTTTCACGTTTGTGCATGCAATAGTGCTTGAGATATAAAAGACACGCATATTTAATGAGTTCTATGACCATATATGGTTAACGAATATTTTGGCCAATTCCCTTGTCCGTTGCCTTTAATATTCCGTTGGTTCCATGTTTGTACATGCAATAGTTTTTGAGATATAAGAGACATGCATATTTAATGAGTTCCAAGATGGCGGCCGAACCACGTGACTAATCGAAAATCTGTTCCAGTCACTTTTAATGGCACGACATGTAGAAGGTATATACAAATTTTCAGGCAAAATGGTGCAGCCGTTTCAGAGAAGAAGTCGTTTGAAGTTGGCGGAAGAATAATAATAATAAACATAACAAAAACAATAGGCTTTCAAGCCTGAAGGGACTTGAAAGCCTAATAATAATCAAAGCAATTACAATAGGGTTTCGCCCCATAGGGCTCGAAACCCTAATAATGTGCATCAGGAACCTGTAATGTCTAATGTATGCACCAAGTTTGAACAAAATCCATCCATAAATGCTTAATATTTGATAATTTTTAGCATAAAATGGGCACCATTCGGCCATTTTGAATAGGATCGTCAAACCAATATATCTGTCTATCTATGACATGATAATAATCTTTGAATCTTATCTGAAGAACAAAATGATGTGCATCAAGGTCCTATAATGTCCAACGTATATACCAAGTTTGAACAAAATCCATTCGGCCATTTTTAATAGGATCATCAAACCAATATATCTGTATATCTATGGCATGATGTATTATGAGTATTCAAAATTTGAACATTTGAATCAGTCACAGCAAGTCAGAGATATGGCACAAGAACCACATTTATTAAAACAAAATGGCCGCCAGTCAGCCATTTTGAATCTTATCTGAAAAACAGTGATGTGCATCAAGGTCCTATAATGCCCAATGTATATACCAAGTTTGAACAAAATCCATCTGTAAACAGTCGAGAAATGCTCGATTTTGATGATTTTTTAGCACAAAAATGGCCACCATTCAGCCATCTTGAATCAGATCGTGAAACAAATTGATGTTCATATGTATAATATCATGTATGATGTACGTGTGAAGTTTGATTGTGATTGGTCCAGGCATTTCTAAGATACAGGTCCGGAGGCAAGCAAGCACACACACATGGACGGACGGACTGACAGAAGCACAGAGGTCAAAACATAAGTTCCTGTTTTCGGACTGCGTCCGAACAGGGTCTAACAAGCAGCTCGTTAGCTGATATACATGTGGCTCGAGACTGTATACATTGTAGTTACATTTACAAAAGTACATTTTTTTTATTAAAAATTACAAAAATATTCACTAAAATTAAAGAATTGAACATGCCATTTTCAAGAAGAAGTTGAAAATTTTAACAGCGCCAAATGGATGATAGATGCTGGAAAACCAACACCAGAAGACAAATGCTGAGTTCTCACTGTTTACTGTTTTCAACAATTCTAATCTGAATCTTTGGGATGGTAAATAGACATTATTTTTTGTATGCTAAATTTGTTTTGGAATGCAAGAGCAAACTGCTTTATTTTTAGAAAATTTTATTTATAAATTTTGTACCATGATGTCAATTCAAAATGGCAAAATGGTATTTATTGTGATCTGGGTCTAGTTTTCAGATTATCTCACTTTGTAGCTATAAGAACTTTATGGCAGAACTGCATTTAATTATTGTGACAGGCAAGAAATATATCATTGTTATGTTAGTTGCTATCCTGTCATGAGACAAGACAATTCTATATGTTGTTTGATTTAATAAGATTGTTCTTTGTACATGGAATTCAGTTGAATTTAGATTGCACATGTATGGTGTGATGTGTGCTGCAAAAAAATATCCATGACATGAAAATTTTGTGAAGACATATATAACTAATTCAGTTGCTTATTTCAAAAGATTTATACATG